ATTCCTGCTTTAATTTCTCTGTATTCTAGACTTACAGGTTAAGTTTTGCCCCTTTTATCCTAGGATCCTTACTGTCAGAAAATGTAAGCACACATTAGTACATTTCTCATGAAGTTCCTGCTGCTCATGCAAAATGGAAATCAGGATCATAAAAGTAAAGTTATTAAAAATGATAGTAAATTCCTTTCTTTGTTCCATTATTCAGCTTTAGGAGCATCTCTGTTCTCTAAGAGCCTCAGAGTATTAATTTTATACATTTAGGAACAAAAGAACTTAACAATATTCGTATTCATGTACAATATTTATAAATACATAATTCTAAAGTACAGGTCTATTCAGAAGTTAATGTATACTATAGTATAGGTAGATCTCATTCCAGAGTTTGAGTTCAGTAGCTCTCAACATATCATTTTTTGTCTTCATAAAATTCTGAGATAAGAAATCCTTCCAGAGGAAATTTCCTGGTGGTCCAGTGTTTAAGGACTCTGCGATTTCACTGCCGAGGGCCTGGGTTTGATCCTTGGCTGATCCCTGGTTGGGGAACTAGAATCCCACAAAATGCGTGGTGTGGTCAAAAAAAGAAATCCTTCCAGATATTCTTGCATATGGATTCCTGGGCTAGGGACTGAGGTGATACCACCTGATTATTAGAGTCGAGAGTTTGGTATCTGGTGGGGTAGGGGTTGAGTGGAGGTGGGAAGGACAAAACCAAGATGGCAACGCTTGAATTCTGACTGGGAACTCTACTTTTGACACTGGCACAAATAAAGCACACAGAACATACAAGGCCACACAAATAAGTCAGCTTCTGAAAAGTGAGACTGTCACAAGGCTCACAATTAGGCTGGAAATTTGGGAGTGTCAGTAATAATTTTTGTGTCTAAGGACAGAAGGTATCTGAGTTATACAAACAAGGGGGTGTATACTATGAACCCAAATGAACAATTCATGGGTGAGGAGACTGTGACTACATTAGCACAGGGAGGGGTGCATAATGACAGAATCAGTTTCCCCCATCTGAGTCACATATCTTCACAGAGAGGTTTTTTTCTTATGGTAATAAAAGTTGTGTATTTCCAGAATATCTATACATATTCGAAATACATTCAAAATACATTTTACATCCTGACAAATTAATTTTGGATCATCTCTTTTAATAATCCTAATATTTAAAATTTGTATTTAACTGTACACCGTACATGGCTGGGCTTCAAGGAATCTGTGAACTCCCTGAAATTATATGTAAAACTATGTGTGTATGTATATTTTTCTAAAGAGGGTCTCTAGCTTTCATCAAACTCAAACCTATAACTCTAAAATGATTAAGACCCAATGAATAGATAATTAAAAATTGAGAAATTAAGCCCCATAACAAGGACCTTTTTCCCCTCATAAAATCAGGGCTTTTTAGCATAAATTCTGACATAAATATTGTACTTACATCAAGAGCCACAGATTGCTTGGCCCACGACTTCTTCACTTGATCATACATAATTGTATTGTTGATGCCAAGGCCACAAAAGATGACAAAAGCCTAGAAAAGAGAAAGCTCACTAACTAAAAATTGCAATAACTCATTGGCATAATCTAATATAAAAGCAGGCAGTCATCAGGAATGGGCCTTAAATATAATTTTATTGTATACAGAGGTAGGCCTTGGGGAAATATGTACATTAAAATTCTTAATTACTATTGTCATGTAACAACTTTATCACTCACATTGCACGAGAAAAATTATTAATTTAATGTCATTGTGAAGAAATGACTTTAAATACATTTAAAAACATACAGTCCGTTTAAATGCATTCTTTATTTAGGTTGTGAACTGATTTTAGTAATTTCATCCCATTTAACCAATAGCCACCTCTTTCAGCAGCTAGGCTATAAAATATTTTGGTAAGGAAACCAAGTGAGTGTAAATGAGGTAAATATTAAGGGGACAGAGGATTCAGATTTAGAACCAATTAGTAAAGAAGCCTCAACTGGAGAAAAAAAATCATGGGGTTTTCATGCTGGCTACTGGTACAAAGTCTACTAGGAAGCCTGTTCAAGGCTAACCTCTCTAGCTAGAGGGCAGACTAGAGTAAACAGAAGCTTATAAACATAAGAAAGGAGATGGCAGTACGCCTGGCAGAGCTGGCTAGAGGTCTCATGACTGAACACACACAAACAAGACAAAGATAAGACAACACTTTGGAGAGAAGAGCAAGGCAATTCAATTCTGTAACAAACAATCAATTAGGGTAAAAACATCTAATTCATGAAAAAAGAGAATCAAATCTTACCTAAACATTGATATATTCTTTAAATCTTCCTTTAAATTTCATCACACTGTCAAAGTATAATGATTAATAAATGTCAAATAATAATTATTTATCCTTCCTAACGGGGGCAAGCTGTAACCAGAAGACTACTGGTGACTCAGCTGTAACCCCTGGTTCACAAATTTATTTTCTTACCTCAAAAAGTCGTTGATCTGCGTCATCGAAAGGTTTCCCATCAAGTCTATTTAACACTTGAGCCACTCCTGTGAGAAGAGGTTGGGATGTGTGGTCATTTTCGGTGCTGGACACCGTGTTCCTACAATACAGTAAGATGACTCTATGCTCCTTTAAGTGCACACACTCAGCTTAATCCCTGGTTACTCTCACACCTGCTGCCTCTGTGAGAGCAGATCTGAGGTGTACAGGGATGCAGTCTATTTTCCAGCTGTGATATCCAGACCAGGTCTCAGGGAAGCCTGGAGCTCTACCAGGCATCAATCAGATTCCCTAAAAATGGTTTTCACGATGACTGTGCACAATAATTGATGTATCTAGCATACACATATATACACAATTACATACTTATACACATATACATATACATACTTGAATATCTATAACTGTATGTATATATAAACACATATATACATGCAATATATTAAAAAATTATATATAAATTAAAAATATATAAAATATAATGCACATAATTATATAAATATACAATTTTAAATATATATATAACTAAATTTTTTTTTCAATTCTCTGAAGCACGGCGCTTGAGTTGAGGCAGCATGGCATAGTGATTAAGAACATAGGCTCTGGAGTTAGACAGTCTTGGTTTAAATTTTCAACTCCACCATTAGTGGTGTTACCATGAGCATGTTACCTAACTTTTTTAACACTGAATTTCCTCATCAGTAAAATGAGGATTAAAATGTTAACTGTCTCAGTGGCTTATGAAGATTAAATTAGATAACATTTGATTAATGTTTGGAAAGCATATTGTTCCACACGGAGAGAACATTCAAGAAATGTTAGGAATTATGATACAGTTAACTTTCAAAGCAAGGTTAGTTTTGTTGCCTGCTCCCAATGGGGTTAAACTACTTTTAACAAATTTAACTTGTGTGTGTCTTCTTTCCAAAGTTGATTTCCAGCATTATACAAGATGTTTGGGGCACGACTATCAAAGCACACAAGTCTAACTAGAAAAATTCAACAATCTTGAAAACCATTCCCTTGTATCCCTATTTAGTATAAACAAAAATGACTGTAATTCTAAAGCATGCATGTATTTTTAAAAACACCTAACTTCGCATCAGGGAGGTAAGTCGTCATATGCTAGAAGACATGTATAATAAAATACAAAGCTTTTAGTGTGTAACAGGCAAACTACAGTCTTAGTTTTGAAAGAATAACAGATGTTTACTGTTAGAAATGAAATGTAGGACTGCATGTGAGATTGCAATTGGATATCTACAGATAAAGTATGGTGTTTCTTATGAAATTTCTCTTCTCTTTAAACTTAAGTATTATATATTTTGGGAATTCCCTGGCAGTCCAGTAGTTAGGACTCCACGCTTCCAGTGCAGGGGGCAGGGGTTCTCTGGTCGGGGAACCAAGATCCCGCATGCTGCACAGCATGGCCAAAAAAAAAACCCACCTTAAATATATTTAAAATTCTACCCATGATGTAATTCAATGCTTTGTACTAGGAGCTCAAATTCTCAAATCTTAGAATATACTTTATGTTCAATAATGTACAAGTATTTTCTGCAAACTAAGCAAACTGATGAAAAAATTCTCTTAGAATTCAAGTCTTAACAATATTTACAGAATACTGAATCCTTTGGTAAGTTCAATATCTTAGAGTTTAAGAGGCAACCTTAGGGTGAAGCAAAGAGAGGCAAATAGTTACATTAGTTACCAAATGTATGTTACCTTATGTCTCTTAGAAAAATAACACATTTTCATTGTGTTTAAATAACTAATGTCTCCATCCTTCTTGACTTTAACAACTGGCCCCTTCTCGCCTAGACTTCTTTCTTAGGTTTGAGATTTTCTAACTGAATTTTCAAGGAAAGGAAAGGAGCAGGGAGGGAGAGAAAAATTGGAAACTGCTTTGGTCCACAATTCCCTTATTCAGGAATTAGACCTATTTTGGAACCATCCAGGCAGAAAGACACATGTACAGTATATGCCTAACAATGCACATCCTTTCTTCCTTTGCATTTACTCCACGTGTAAAAGCATAGATGTAAATATATAGATGTACTAGGAGTTAAGAAGCCCGAGTTTTACGTGGGACTCTGCTACTAACTCACTTTGTGACCTTATGCAAGTCTTTTCTCTCTCTTTGGGCCTCAGTTTCCACAGAGTAAGATAAAAGAGTTCAGTTAGCTGCTTTCTGAAATCCCCTCCAACTTCAAAACGACTGGTTCTTATTTAAAGGAATAAATATTTGTTCATTGTCCTGATTAACACTGATTCATCAGGAGTCTTCACTTACGAGATTACACAAGAGTATGAGACATAAGTTGATGAGTCCTGGACATAAAAAGGGGAACATTTAAAAAAGAGATGGATGTATTTTAAAGTAAATTGTACTTCTTTATAAAAGAAGTTTGAACTATTTAGGTAATGTCTTACCAATTATTTGGTGGCTGCTATTCCAAATAGGTACACAGAGAACCGATCTTATGTGAAAACCAGATATCTGTTCAGCCTAGGATAAAAGAAATTAACTAAAATTAAATATTATCTACCCACTTCTGACATATAGCTTACCACTCTTCATAACAGATATTTAAAAATAACTTTTAAAAAGACATATTATAAACTAATTGTAATGCATATACTCACCTGTCTCTTTTCATTTAAAACATCACAATGCACATCCCAAGGAAATCATGCCCTAACCAAATATGAATCAACCAATAAACCCTACACCCGCACTACCTCTCCCAATCCCTGCACCCACATAAAGCTGAATGTAAAACTATCTTGGGGCTTCCCTGGTGGCGCAGTGCTTGAGAGTCCGCCTGCCGATGCAGGAGACGCGGGCACAGGATATTGGATATAGTTCCCTGTGCTATACAGTAGGACCTTGTTGTTTATCCATGTATTTACTTTTAATATTCTATATTTCTAATATTACTGATTTATTACATATGTTTCAAAATCATATAAAAATAAAAGTCACAAAAGATAAGATAAGGGTTCAGCAATCTTTCTGTACCCTAACAGATTGTCAGGAGATGATATATATGAAATACAAAAGTATAATTATCAGCATCAGACAAATGTCATTCAGTAACAAGCTCCACTTAATATTAAAACCAATGATCCATATTTGAATTGCTAGATAAGAGCTACTAAAGACTGAAAGGGTGTTAGTCAATTGATATGACCTTGGTTTCTAGTGAGAAGGTCAACCTGTCATCCCAATCCAATCAGAGAAAAAATAAAACATTGAGGTTCTAGATTATGGTTATTGGGATAAAAGATTTTTTTATATTTTAAAACATTTACTGTAGGAGTTAAGAGCTACATATTTTAAAAAGTTGATGTTGGAAGTTAATTCATACACCTAAATTTTATATTTGGATTTTTATATTTGGATTTTTTTTTTGGTTTTCCTCTGAGGAATTAATTTTTCAGATATCTTCTACTCTTGATACCAGTATATTAGTTTGTTTTTTAAAGTAATTTTTTGATCTTTTCCTTGAAATCTTTCCCTGTTCCTAGCTCATGAAGATATTCTATTATTTCCCTAGAATCTTTATTGTTTTGACTGTTACTTTTAGATTTACAATCCAACTGAAAATAATTTTTGAGTACAGTGTGAGCTGACAGTCAAGATTCTTTTTTTTTTTTTTTCTTGGTGGATATCCAACTGGACCAGAACTAATTCTGTGGCGCAGGGGAAATGCCTCTCCCCACCACTATCTGGTACCACTTTTTTCATTAATCATGTGTCCATATATGTAAGGATCTGTTTCTGGACTCTGTTCTACTTCATTGATTTATGTGTCTACCCTTATACCAATACCATACTGCCGTGAATAATAAAGTCTTATAATACATCTTGGTATCTGGTGGTGTAATTTCTCCAACTTTTTCCTTCTTTAAGATTGTCTTGACCATTGTTGGACCTTGGCATTTCCATATTAATTTTAGAATCAACTTGAAGTACACACACACACACACACACACACACACACACACACACACTGCTGAGATTTTTATTAGGATTCTATTGAATTTATCAGTCAATTTGGGAGAAACTTGACATATTTACATCATTGAGTCTCTCAATCTATAATATCCCTCTATTTAGAGTTCTTAAAAATTTCTCTAAGCAAACTTTTGTAGTTTTCTATGCAGAAGTCTTACATATAATTTGTTATATTTGTACCTGGTGTGTTAAAAGTTCGTGTTATTATAAATGGTATTATTAATTTATTTTCTAATGCTTTTAATTGACATATAGAAACATAATTGATTTTTGTATATTGAACTTGGATCCATCAATCTTGCTAAATTCAATTATTAACTTTAATATCTGTAGTGCTTTGGATTTTCTAGGCATATTATCATGTCATCTTACTCTTCAATTCTATGCCTTTTAATATGTGATTTTAGATCATGTGATTTTTTTCTTTTTCCATTTGTTAAGAGCATAAATTACATCAATTGATTTTTGAGAATTCCAGAAAAAAACAAAAAAGCCAAAAGCCTGGGCATAAATTATTCATCAATGAACTCTTTCATTATATATTTATTTACCACCTCCTATGCACCAGACACATTGCTGGGTATTAAGGATATAAAAATGAATTCAAACAGTTATTGCCCTTGAGGAGCTCACAGTCTAGTCAAGACAGAAGTAGTTAAGATAAAATAAGTGTCCGAGTAAAGAACGTTCAGAATACCACAGAAAAGCCAGCAACTGACTGTGTTTAGAGAAATCTGGAGCAGTTTTAGCTCCTTAAAAGTGGGTCTTCAAAGATGAGGGTGACAATGATGATGACAAGATAACATTTACTAGATGCTCACTTGATATCAGGTACCTTGTTCTGCACTTTCACATGCATTATTGCATATACTTACTCAAACAACCCTATGAAGTAGGTACTGTTAACATCTTCCCTTATCAGATAAGACCTAGAGAGACTGACTGGTTTGAAAGTGGAAAGATTGGTTCAAAGGAAGCCAATCACAAACACATCCATCAAAGTTATCTTCCAAAAGAACAAAGTGGTTTTCTTCCTCTCCCTAAGGAGAGAATCTGAATAACAGCAATGTCAGTGAGCACAAAGAGAAGGAAGTCAATTTTAGAGAGGTCTGGGAGGTGTAATCTATAGACTTGGGCTGGCCTGAGTAGCACTAGGATGCCTGGGTGTGTTTTGTTTTGCTGAGGGTCATACACAACTGTCGGCGGTCCCGCCCCAGCACTGAGCAGTAGGCACAATTGGCTCTGCCAACTCTTGGGACAACTGTAGCCCCTGTCTAACCTCTCCCGGGAAATCTGAAGCAGCTGAGGGTAGAGGTCACGGTGCAAGAAGAAAGGGAACATGCACTGAATGACAGAAACAAGGAGAGAGACAGCCTGAGAGGCTTGGTGGTGACAAAAATAAACCTCAGGCTCTTTGTCAGTGAAGTAAAAGATAATTTTGCTTACCAAAAAATTAGTGTAGTTCCCCCAAAGAATTTTTGTTGTAGGGAGGTAGGAGTATGTGTTCTCCCATTCCCTACAAAAGATAATATTGAGGTTCCTGGTTGAGGAAGGGCGGTGGAGCTCCTTGAGGTGGGGAACGCAGGAAGTTTGAGGGAAATGATTCCAAATTCAAGCTGACACACATTACAATTGAGAGGGCAAGGGGAAGGGAGAGTGAAGAAGGAGACCCTCGTATTAACTGCGTGGGTAAAATCACCAAGAAAGAGCTCGTCCAATAAAAAGACAAAAAGGATGAAAAATTGAATCTGAGGGGACACAATATTTAGGACAGGAAAAAGAAGGCAGGATGGAAAAGAACTCCAAAGCTCATATTCTTCAGCTCAGGCTTTATAGCATTCCTAATGTGTGAACACATTGCTAACAGCCTTTCTGGAAATAGATTTATTGACGTGTATCCAGAGTCTAAAAAGTATAAATGCCCTCTGCCTTATCAATTTTATGTCTAGGAATTTATCCTATAGTAATTATCATAGCTATGCACAAAAGTTTACGTATAAAGGTATGAATCATAGCATTATTTATGATAATGATATATCAGAAATAACCTGAACATTCCACTGGAGGGAGTTGGTTAAGTAAATCATAGCACAGTAGAATATTATCCATCTAATTAAAATCATGCTATAGAAGAATATTTGTAAACAGGGAAAATTGTAATACATTAAGTGATAGCAGTGTGGGCATCTGTGGGTGTACAAACATATATTACATACATTGGAAAATCCTGGAAAAATTATAACCATAATAGTTGCCTTTGAATTGTTTGTCCATGGGAGTTTTTGTTTGTTTCTTTGCTTTTAAAATAAACTTTATTTTTTAAAAACAGTTTTAGGTTCATAACAAATGAGGCAAGTACAGAGAGTTCCCATATACCCTCTGCCCCAACACATGCACATCAACACCCCTCACTATCAACATCCCCCACTAGAGTGGTACATTTGTTGCAACTGATGAACCCACACTGATTCATCATTATCGTTCAAAGTCCATAGTTTATATTAGGGTTCACTCTTGATGCTGTATGTTCTATGGGTTTTAACAACTTTAGAATGACATGTATCCACCATTACAGCATCACACAGAGTAGTTTCACTGCCCTCAAAATCTTCTGTACACCACCTATTCATCCATCCATCCCTCTGGCAACCACTGATCCTTTTTTTATCCAGCTCTATTGAGGTATAATTGACAAAACTGTAACATATTTAAAGTGTACAACATTATGATTTGATACATGTATACACTGTGAAAGAACTCTGCCTATGGGAGTTTTTTAAACTACTATTTCTATTTTTTAAATTTTAGATAATGAATTACTGGTACACAAGAGAAAAATTTCTTTTCTAAATAGAATTATAGGGGAACAACAGTGTCAAATGTTGCACAATAGTCAAACAGGATAAGCGCTGAAAATGGGCTATTGGATTTAGTAACACAGAAGGATAATTGAAGGCAAAGATAGTCAAGGGAAGAAGGAATGGGATCAGGAACAGAAGTAAAGTGGTTAGTTCTGGAGAAGAGGAAGGCCACACTGAGAGAGCAGAGCTAGAGTCTCGCACGGGCTGAGCCCAGGAGGAGGGGAGCGGTGACTGAGGATGTTGAGGGCATTTCTAAGCCATTCCCACTGTGGCTGAGGAAGGGAAGTGGGGCCAGCACTAACTGGCTATGAGCACAGGGAAGAGGGGGTGGTGATGATTAGCAAGCTTGATGAGCCCAACAAGGTGGGAGAGGAAAAGAAGGAAGGATGGCAGAGTATGATGAGAGTGAATTTTCCAATTTTAAGATCACTGAGGTAATCCCCTAGTTGTCTATTCGTGGCAATGGCTGTTGTTTCTGGAAAGATAAAGATTAAAATTCACATCATTAGAGTCCTAAATATTAGACCATATGAGACTAAGCAGCCTTTTCAGGAGGCTACCATTAAAATAAATACATTATCTAGGGGTGCCTAGTTCTTTCCAATTAAAGATGTATATACTAAAAAT